GCGAAGCCCAAGGTGACGTGAGACGCAACTTAGAATATGGGCGACGCGATAAGGTTCAAACGATCTCCATCAAAGTCTTCGTCTTCTTGGTCTTTGTCTTCGTCTTCTTGGGCTTTGTCTTCGTCTTCCTCAGACTCGGAAGGAATTGGAGTTTTAGTTAGAGTTTTCCTAGTTTTTTTCGTTGGAATTGTAAGTAAAATCTGTCCACGCGAGGTCAACACGATCAGATCTTCTCGTGAGAAGTTAGCCCTAGCTCTCTTTATTGATTTTCTTATCAAAGGCTGGTGGTCGTCCTCCCACTTGAATCCTTGGGATTTAGCTCAAATAAAAAACCCTATCTTCGAAAAAGAGTATACATCGGAGACATCTGATAGACAGACTTTAGCTCCTATTTAAGGGGATTTTCTATTTTTGTCTCTTGTAAAAGAACAAAAAAAATTATAAAAGAAATTCCAAGTTTGGGCCGAGAAAGAGCTTCGGACTCGGGTTTCTACCCAGGATCTTTCGAACTGTGAAAGCTAAAGCACTTCCAACAGTGCATTCTGAAATAGCATATATAGAGTTGTTTTGTATGAGGAGTTGGACTCCCCGGTTTGGGTCGGAGTAAGCTCCTGGTAATTGGGTCGGAGTAAGGAGCTGCTGCCGATGAAAGAATAAGAAAGTCCAGTACCTAAAATTGGTCAAATCTTTTAGTTTTTATTTGGTTCCAACGAAGCCGCGTTGAACTTCGCTTAGTTTTTATCATGGCCCGAATTTGTGTTTTTTCTTTATTCATCTATGTCGTTTTATAAGCCTGAACATGTCGAGGAGTTTTGGGTTGTAGAATGATTGTAGTAATTTATATGCGCAATGGGACACCGTATAGTTTTTATCGCTTTCTTTAAGCAACCATGTACGACGCGTAATGGGACACCGCATAGTTTACCGCTTTTTTTAGAATAATCATGAACAACCCCGTGTGGGCCATAGGATCGAATATGTAGTTTTATTAGTATGTTGTTTGATTGACCTTGTTGGCGCGGACGAGCCCATATGATCAAGATGAAGTCGACCGGCATATCTCGATGAGGCGGAGCCAATCGCGAACCAGCGGTCGACGGCGCAAGCGACATTGCGAGCAAGAAGGCGCGTCCGCTGACAGTTTGTTGCCAAGCGTAGGTTGTTCCAAGGCATGCGTGGGCAATGTCAAGGGCGACCGACGATAAAAGTAGTCGACATCGGCGAGCTAGGCTCGCGCGCATGAAGCATTCTGTGATTGCGTGTCGCGGCGAGCTTGCGACTGGTTCGTAGTGGTTCATACGTGATGCATGCGACTCCAGGCCCGAGCGCTTGACGCACGTGGCGATGTAGGGCGGTTGCGGCGCCGGCTCAGCCAAGCGTGCACCACTTAAACATGGCAAGCAACGAACCAGCGACACGAGCTTTCCCGAATATGAGCTTCCGACAACAACAGAGACTAGGAAGGGTTTCTTGTTCGAGAAGGAAAAGTGGGAGTCACGGCGAAAAGAAAATTCCAAGTCTGAAAGGAATCGCAGTTCTACAAGGACAAGAATTGTTTGATTCCAAGATTGAATTCTTATTGGCAATGATAGTTCGATATATTTCTAGTTTATCGTTGCCTTTAATTGTACATGTGCTTATTTATCGCCTTGTATGCAAAAAATTAACTGGAGCATGTCTAGAGATTCCCTAAAATTAAATACTAAGTAATTAATGGAATTAAATAAATTCAAAATTCCACAGCTTCCATTACTGGTTTGTGGGTGAAGTTTATATAATTGCGTGTCGACATAAGAGTTTTCCTCCCATAGAACATTTTATTCATAAGTCACCAGGATGAACTTCCTTCGGGATTGTACTAGAAAATATCCAAAAGCGTATGGGGAACCCACAGGTGGACGTACAATTTTAGTAGTGGACTTAGTACCAAGTAATGAGGTCACACTTTGAGTACATTTTTATTGTGTTTCTCCCACAGGAGTAGTCACTTGTATTTTTTATGGGCCAAAAGTGGATCTACTATTAATTAAGTGTTGATTTGTCGACATGATAATTATGGGGCCAAAAGTGAATCGACTATTAATTAGGATTGATTCTTCCAATTTGTGTAGTCCTATGTTGTTTAGGACAAAGGCTAGTTTCGAATATTGTAATTCAAGAAATTTATTTGAGACATGGTACATTAAGTGATGTTCCATAATTTGAGTACTTTGAGGGAGTACGATAGCAGTTGTGGGATAATGTATCAGTGGCATTACGATATCAATCTTAGTGATTGGAAGTTGATATTCGATTTCAATAGGTTGCACCTGGTTTACCTCAACAAGGTGTAGCAGAATGAAGAAAAATGTCTCTTAGGTATATTGGTTGGGTCAATGATGCATTACTAGAAATTTCATAATAATTGATTGTGTTGACAACAACTATTAGTTCATTACTAACTAGTAATCAAGTCGTGCCTTTGCACGGATGACAATTTTTTGAAAAGATAACAATATAAAAAGAAACGCATTGCCCCTTTTCTCGTCTTGAAAAGCACTACTAATTGGGGCTTTACATTTCTCTGCCTCTTGTGAACATAGTTTCGTCTAAGTCGGTGGTCATTACTTTGAATGAATTGTGGACGAGCGTAGCCCAGCCAAGAACATAATCAAATTCGAGGTGTCTTTGGTACATGTTGTGGAAAGTTGATGCTGATAAGATTGGAAAAATATTCAGAAAATTGGCTATTTGTGTGATACTCCAGAGTAACGAGAAATATAGTTTATTTTATACTACAAAAAATCAGAAGGTGATCGATAGTACGAATGACTGATTTTTAGAAAATACTAAGTGATAAAGGTGAATTGTTATAATGAAAGATAAAGGTGAAAGTTCGACTTCAATACCGCGTGTAATATGATACCATAATAAAATTGCAACACGCAACATGAGCAAGACACTTTCTTCGGAGGAACTTTGTCGTAATGGGAGGATTAGATGGAGATCCCATAAATTCGTGTAACTGAGAGTCATTGGATCGATCTCTAGTAAAAACGAGACTAGAAATTCATGTTCTTGAGAAAGTCTTCGGACTTAGTCTCTAGTAAACTTGAGTTAACCCTTGAATGTACAATGAGGCGCTCCGAGACGAGGACACATAATCTTAGTGAAATATCAATGATTCAAGATTTAAGGTCTCGAATTCTAATTAGATATGGGGTCTTATAGAATCAACAAGTGGCGTAAAGGTCATTGGGTGAAATCTGTAAGTAAAATCGTGTAGGCTTTGGGGTAAGGCTTGTTGTGAAATGGTAGACTCGGAAAGATTGTAATATGTTATGAGTTAGCTTTTTCACCAGTAGCCGTGCTTAAGTTTATATGAATTTTAGGCTGTTGCCGCACATATGAGTTATGAAATTAGGCAAGGTGGATGGCAAGACATTTTTCTTAACCGGAGGTCTTGTGGAAATATTCATGGAGCACCACTCGTAAGTGTTCATTGAAAAAAGCTGAGAGCATCTAGTCTGTAAACTGAAATGATCCATTAGTGGACTGAATTATGTTTTGGTTCATTTGGTTGATGAGTCGAATTCATGGATTTGATCATTCATCAAATGAGCACTATGTGTAGCGCAACAAAAGCGTAGGGTATTTTATGTAATGTGCCTACCAATAACCTCAATCACTCTTGTTTGAGATTTGACCGTCACTTCTACCAGGTTGGATGTGTTGTTCAAGCTAACAGTAGAGCTTTTTACCTTCATTTGTTGTTCAAATTATGAAGCTAATGAATTAGAGTTGTTCTGGGGGCCTCAGATTTTAGACCCATGGAGTCTGATTAGCTTGCTTGGCGAATATTGGGCTACATTTGTCATTCTCTTACCTTGAGCCATTCTCCAAATTGCTCGTCTTAAAGAGAATTATGGGCTATGTCCTCTAACCTCTTCTTACAATTCTTGTCTAAATGCCCCAACGTACCACAATAGTAACACAAGTTGACTAACTTCTCATACTTGAAGTTCACCTTGATTACTTGGTCCTCCAATCTCACAATTGCACATCTCATAAGAGGTTCTTTGACATTAACAAAGACTAAAATTCTAATGAGGTCCTCCTCTTATTTCACCATCTTTAAAAATAGTGTCATTTTTTAATCTGAATAATTTTTTCTATTTTTAGACCCACATCTGCACTCTGCCAATGAAACGGTATATTGTAAATCTGTACCCATAGATGAGGATAACATATTTTTATCGCATCATCGTGTTTTGCAGCAAAATCGTATAAGTTTAAAAAAGTCAAGAAAAGTTACAACTCAAAGCACTGGTTATTGCCACTGATACTGTCTATCAAATCGTGCAAAATTAGATACTGATTTTAAAAAATCCAGTTCAAACCTAATGCTACCTTCTTCCGATCATCACCATTCTCAAAGATAAACTGGAATAAATTTGGGCCCGACTCCCGAATTTCCACTTATTTTTGAATTCTCCATATTTGGCCCATCGTTCTTTTTAGACCGAAAAGGTTGGTCCTCATATCACAAATTATCTTCCCACTTCTTCAACACCCATCCTCACTTGATTTGATGTCCTCGTGCCCAATATCGACAATGTAGTTCTCCGCTTCTAACAATGACAAGTTCTTCAATATGAGTTCCACATCCTCTTCTCCACGCT